ATCGGAAGCCCAGCTTGTGTCGTGCTGGGTGGTGAACAGAAAGCTGCCTTTTCCTCCAATCCGCGACACACCCTGGCTACACGGTTTTACCCCCCACGACCGTGTCTGATTCCCTGTCTCCTTCCCCAATAAGCGATCAGGTGGCCCTTTTTTCCGCCAGCGCCAAGGGGGAACCGTTGTGTAATAAGACCAGCCTGGGTCACAAGGCCAGACACCCTCCCCTAAGAAATTTGGGGCCCCTTTGGACTAAGAGGAACAAAAGGCCCCGAGCTGGCGTTGGGATTCCTCTTGAAGCCATCGACTCAGACATTTTACTCGCGCGCGTTGGGGCGACAGGCGTGCTTATTGTCATCGGTTGCCACAGGCACCAGGAGCTTTGGAAGGAGCCAGTGTGGGAACTCGGCGATGTGTTTAAGGGGGTCCCGGCCGCACAGTGTTTGCCAAGGGTTGTAATTATTTGCAGCCTCCTGCCCCTGGTAGCAGGGGAGGGCATTTGGGAGGTCGAGGTGTGTTTTTAGGTGGTGGTGGTGGGGGGGGGAGACAGAAGCAACAATGGATCTTACCGAGTTTTGGTTTAAACTCATTGCCATCGAGTCAGAACGACTCATAGCTGACTCTTCCAGCAGGTTTTCCGAGGCTGTAAATTGCACGGGAGGAGATTGTTTATGGTTTTTGTTGTTTTTTGGGGGTTGGTTTTTTTTGTGTGTGTGTGTGGTTTTTTTTTAACCTCCCTGTAGTTGCTGGTGGATTTGAACCGGCAGTGATAACTTCCTACATGCTACACCACCAGATCTCCTAGAGTTTTTAGAGTCCAAAATCCAGCACCTTGAAGACTGGCGTCTGACGCTCTCCTCCCCCCCCCCCTTGATTTATAGCTGCATACACCTAGCAGGAGAGGGCTGCAGAAATACCACAGCCAGGTGCCCTTTCCACCTTCCACTTCTTGTTCCTTGCAGGGTTTGAGTGTTGTAATTTTAGCCTTAGGAGGCAGATGTGTGCATCCAAATGTTGATTTAGCCATGTCCCAGTCAACTTTGCTGTTAGTTATTATCCATTACATACTGTGATAACTATTGCGGCTGTGGTTTAATGAAAGTGTAATGTCAGTCTGTGCTGGTGGGTCTGGAGGGGGAAGAGGTCATGTAACTGAACTGAACCTTAGTTTCTTTTCCTGGAAAATTAGATGAAGGTGTTAGGCTAATTGTTATAGCAAAATCAGATTCTAGGAGCTTTTGTATTGAGTAATACTAGATGTTCTTCCCCCTTTTTATACTTTATATAGAAACGATCCTAAAGCATATGCCCAGATACAAAAAATTACAAACTCCCAGATCAAGATATAAAAGTCAGTGCTCTAGGGCCCTGCATCAGTGGTACCCTTCCTCTTATCCTGTACCTTATTTTTGGTGGTTTTAGCTGCACATTTAAGATTTTAAACAAAATCAGCTGGTTGCCAAATAGTCTGAGTGTTAACGATTCTGTTCAAGGTCAGGTAATGTTTGCCTTCATAAGGATCCCTAGTGACATAGTTGCTTTGTATGTTGGATTGCTAATTGAAAGGCCATTGGTTCAAATCCACCAGCCACTGTGCAGGAGAAAGATGGGCAGTTTTCTCTCTTAAAGATTTGCAGCCTCAGGAATCAATGAAAGTTCCACATAATAATAAAAACAAAGTTCCCCATAAATAAGAATCAACTCAGTTTCCATTGGGTTGGGGAGGGGGTGAAGTACATTGTGATGTTTGTGCTCCAGATAGAGAAGAGGTTAATTCTCATGAAGCAGGCTTGTTTGCTTCTCTTAGGACTTAGTGAGTATGGAGCATGCCGATCTGAAATCATCAGTTCCCTCTCAGCTTTGCCAGTTTTAAGTTTTACGCAACTGCTCCTGTGAAAAAAATCGTC